AAATATTTTCTTTGATTATCCTGGTCGAATTGAATTTATGTTTCAATTTTCAATTTTTTTTTCACCTCGTCGCCAATTTGTTGTATTCTTGATTGTTATTGTGTTCGCATGTTTTTTTGTTATGACTATTATAATTCGTTTTAAAAAAAATAATTATGTTTGTTATCTTTTTCGATGCTTTTATATATAGTAGTATCATTAAATTGCATTTGAACCTTGTTAATATATAATATTGATTAATTATGTGTTATGTATTTCATTAGATACAACATGTTTTACATTGATGATTTATGAATGGAAGTGAAAGAACGGAAGAATAGCAAAATATGCTGCCCTTTATTTTTTATTTCCAAGCTCATATTTGATAAAGATTATTTTTAACATTTTATTCATTCCTGATCAAACCATTAATAATAACTAATTTAGGCACTATAATTAAAATGGTAATGGGATGGGAATAATTCCACTGTTTTATCATATTTAAAACACTTTTTTGTCGATTTCATCGTCATATCAATATTTAGGTAAAAGTTTTCCATCACTGATTGCAGTGCAGTCATACTTCACAAGAGTTGCAACTTATGATCTATCTATGAAATGAAGGATTTGTTATTTGAATCCTTGTGATGCAGTGGCAGTGAATTTTCAATTCTATTTCCTTGGATCTGACCTCTTCCATTCTGTCTCTGATTGTTTACTTTATGGAAATGTATGGTATCCTAAAAGTTTTCAAAGTACAAGTTGTATGCAGTTTGGGTAAGTTTCTGTGTTGAACACAAAATTACAAATATTTTTGTTTTACTTTCTGGCTTTAATTCACAATGAAATCTCATGGAAGGATTGAGAGGATCAATTATTTTGATTTCATTTGAATGAAAATTTTTATTGCATTAATATTTTCAAAGATCTCCTAATTTGCAATAAATGCTCAAGCCAATACTTTGCGTTTTAATATTACTGTAAAATTTGCCAAATATTTTTGCCAAAACTTAATCAGAATTGCCTCATTTCCCAATTGCAATTTCCTCATTGTCTTCATTTATCCAGTTTCTAATTATTATTTTCTCTTTTTGGTTCAATTTCTCCACTTAAAAATTTAGAACTATATTAGAAATGACTACTTTCATAATACCTCATTTGAAATAATCTCTGTTTGCCAGGCTTGAAATAAATTATGTTTTTCGAAAAGCCGATCAAATAGTTTCCTATATAACTTCATTATCTATCGGAAATATATTAGGATGGCAAAGTAACTGTACCGTCTTTCAAACTATTTTAACCAACAGAAGACCTGTTATCTTATTCTTTCTGAATGTGGGAAATATATTTCACACCCTGCTATTCAATCCTACTATTTCCACAAAGGAACACAGTAATTTGCAAGTTTATAACTCTACAAAATTAAGATTTCCAATAAGCATATGTTCTTCTTAGGTTTCCGCGGCTGGAGTTGGCTGCCCGGGTAGAGCCGCGTCTCATACGATCGAGCTAACGTTGAGCAGACGTTTCGGCCATCGTGTTGTGGCCTTATTCAGAGCTATATTGCTTCCGCTGCCGACTTTCCGAGGGGCTAACGTGTCTCATTAATATAGGAGAGGGTGCATGGGCCGGCTTCATCGGTGATCAATATGAGAAGGGCAGGTGGCCCACGATTGGCGGAGAGGGAGAAGTGCGATACCGGGAGACCAAATAGTGTGTGGGGAGGGAGGTGGGGCGGAAGGGAAACTTTCTCAGCGAAAAAGTCCTAGGCAATCTGTTACAACCGCCGCAAACACAAATACACTAAACCTTTTACTCCACCAAAACAAGTTACACTTGGCACACAAAAACTGACATGGGCGCCGAAGGCAACTTACTCGTACTTAGGCGTCACATTTGATCGAAGGATGCGCTGGCATTAACATGACAGGCGAATTCGATCAAAATTGCAGCAGAGAGTTCCACTCTTACAAGCTCTTTTGAAGAAACCTACACTTCCCTTCGAACCTCACTTGGCACTCTATAAAACGTGTGTCTTGTGACCACCTACGCAGCGGTAACCACAGCACAGAACATACTTACAAGGATACACTTGAGCTAGTACAGAACAAAGTTCTACGTCTTGTAGCACGCCCTCCTTTTCGGAAGAGGGTGAAAGTACTGAGGAAGTAACTTTATATCGAGTCTATATTGCGTCTATATCGACGCAATGCGTCTCGTAACTCCTTAAGGAGCGTTGAGCGCACTGGAATAATCCTCCGTCAATAAGCACCCTCCATGGGTCGCTGTATTGTCAAGTCAGGGAATCGCTGATAGGTAGCGTCTTCGCGCTCGCGTCTCGCACGCGGTCTGCGTCTTCTACCCATCAGCCAGAATTGGGATGAAATAAGGATTGGAGAAAGGTTTAGGACGATTCACAGAGGTAGGACTATCCCCTGTGAAGTCCTTCTCTCGAAGCTTAAGACGACTTTCGTTTAACGAAGTCTATCAAGCCTTTCAAATCAAGGAAGCTCCGGCAACACTAAAAAAATTAACTTGACACGTCCTCACTATAGGACAAAGAAGACAATCACTCCCTTCTGATATGCTGAAGGCGTAATGCATCACAAAAGCCTATTTGGTTATTGACGAAGGTTCGACGCGAACCCACACCAGCCATACGTAGCAGTAAAACGCGAAATGCGAGCGAACTGCGACACAACTACAATCACAAACCTTCGGCTAAGGTGAAAAAGGGGGGGGGATAGGGAAGAGGATAGAAAACTGAACAGGCTGAACATTCACAAGATGAATCTGCGTGGTCGGGGACCGGAGGAAATGCCAAAAGAAAACGGACCAATAAGCAGCCACGTCATTGGTCGTCTCGTCTAGTACTACGTCTAGGTCTCGTGGTAATTAACGAGGTGACCCGTATCTGTGGCAAGTTGGGTCAAGACCACCTTGTGGCCGGTTGTGTCCCCGCATCCACTTTTCTACCGTGCGCCTGGTTTGGCCATACCAGCCCTGAGGAAGACCACGACAGGATGGTCGAAATGTCGGCAACACAGCCTTCGACGCGGCGTCACCCGGACAGCCCAGATCACCTGAACGGGATTTCGTACACGCCGGCATCTTGAAGAGGGTCCGGACGATCCTTCACCTAAAATACGTTCCCTCCGATTTTGTTGCGAACCACGGGGCGAATATCAGCGCAGTAATCTGTCGATCTTGTCCGTGACTCCTCTGATGTAAGGGAGTTGAGCTGACTTGCGGGGCGAACTGGAAGGCTCGTTGCGTTTCCTCAAAGTGGTAGGCTGCAGTCTCGATAGGGCTTGATGCACGGCGGATCCCCTGTGGTCATTAGCCAGAAAGGCCTCTCTTAATAGTGCATTTTCAGACTCCAGGCTATTGTGGTCACATATGAGGGTGGCCCGGTAGGTAGGAGTGGAAAGGACACTACGTTTCGGGGCCGGGTGGTGGAAGTCGGCTTGTAGGTAGCGATAGGAAATGGGTAGACAGAATGGCCGAGTGTCATCAGGGCGTCTGGTTACTAGGACGTCCAGGAAAGGGAATTGTCCATTACGTTCTGTTTCCATGGTTAATATAATTCGCGTGTGTATGTTATTGAGTTGCGCGAGGAAGGTTTCAAGAAGGTTTCGAGACTCGGTGACATGGGGCCAGATGACGGATGTATCGTCGATGGCGCAGCCGTAGCGGCGGTTTTAAGGGGGCATTTTCTAAGGGCTGCTCTTCGAAAGCTCCCATGAACAAATTAGCTACAACAGGAGATAGTGGAGAGTTCATAGCGGTGCCTTCTGACTGTGCATAATACTCTTGCCTGTATTGAAAAAGATATGGTAGGCAGTGATTGTTGTGTGTAGCGACGAGACAAATTCAGTGAGTTTGGCTCACTCCCTAGGAAGCTGATGCAGAAAGAGGTTGTCTTCCACAAAACAATGGCCGAATTGACTGAGACGCGGCTCAACCCGGACACCAGGTACTGAATCCAAATAAATATTTATAAACATTATGTAAACATTATAAAAACACCCGGTATATTCCTTGGGGACATGCTATTCCTCATTTCCTGAAATTTTCATTCAGAATCAAAGAATAGAGAAATATTATTGTTCACACATATATAATGTTACCCAATTTTTTCTTAATAAAACAATAAGAATCAGATTAATTTTGTGGATTCAGTATTGAAAACTTGAATTCCCATCAGGGCAGAGTCGATCAAAAAAGCTAACTGTGAAATTGAGATATTTCATGATAACTTTCTTATCTCTAATTTTTATCAAAATTATTTGTAATTAATGTTTTTTACAAGGCACAGTATTGTTGATTTCTTTGGTCTTTGTAAGACGTACATGTATTTATTACTATTAAAACGAATTTTTTTCCTGGCTGAAAGAGAGACTTTTAGCACTTGGATCTTATCTATTGTGGAGAAAGTATTCTGTCTCCCATTCCCCCGTTTTAATTGTGGGTTCTCTTAATTAAAACTTCAGAATTAAAATTAGGAAAAGATTGCATTCCTCCAACCGAAGAGTTAATTTATTGATGTAAATTTAATACAGGATTTATTTGTATTTTCTTCGTCAGATCTTTTATTGGAAAAATGTATTTCAATTTAGTCCATTAATGATTAGGGAAATGGAAAGATTTTTGTTTTAGGAACATAAGTGATTTTATTTTTCATCTTTTAACGTATATTGTCTGGGTAATATTTGATACATCGCTTATGGGATGCAATAGTGGCACAACTCAAAAAAATCCAATTTTGAGTTCATGCCTTAATGGCCTCCCCAGAATTGCAGATTGGTTAACCTTCCAGCAGCAACAACAGCATATCTTACAGTACAGTATTCCACCAATAAATGGCAGAAGTGTGAATGCAAAAATGGTGCATTTCAATACGAGGTGAAAAATGCTAACTCATTTATTAGCTGATTTTGATACCTGATTTTTTTAGTTGTGCCATTAATGCACTCCACAAATGATATCATAAAAAGGAAAGAGAAATATTGTATTTTAAAGGTGTCTATTATTACGTTTCTCAGTTCCCTGTCATACATGTTGCACATCTACCAAACACATTGTAAGCTCATCATTTTTGTTTATGGACAGTCTCGTTCTTCATCTAAGTCTTCCCTTGAAGATTCTGGGCAATGCTAAAAAGATAAAAATATTTTTATAATTATTAAATATAAAATTTTTAAAATAATTATCTTAAAATAATCATATACATTTAAAAGTTTGAATTAATAAGTGCAATAAAAATATTTTGGAGAAACTTAAAAGGTTTGTTTTTGCTGTAAGATCTGCATCTGACATTTAAAGAACAGAACTAAGTTAAAAATTTGGGTGTAAGGCTGGGTTTGGGCGGGGGTAAGGGCCAGCTGAGCACATTCTTTATGGACCAACGGAAACTAACAAGCTTCCTTCTGCAGTTTTACTTAAATTATGTTAACTGCCCGGTACACCCAGCGCGATCCGTTAGAAGTTGACAAATTTCCGAATAGGGAAACAGACTTCAATGACGCACGTGCTGTCCTTTCTCTCCAAGTCCCAGAAGCTTCCGTCAGTTTCCTCTTAATGCTTGAAGCGGTTGAGCTGTTACGAGTTTTAGTTAAGTACACTCTTGGAAACATAAAGTTTTGCGTCGAAAATGCCTTGGACCGGTAGGTTGATGGCTCTGGACATCCCTGCTTGCAGACAGCGCTACCTAACGTTTATTTCCGAAACTACGTTCTGTAGATCGTATAATGAAGATTTAATTTATCTCATTGGAGAGCGTTTAAAATATTTTAACATCCATGGAGAGCAAAATAGTTGTAGCACTGAGGAAAAAGACTTTCGTGATTCCTGCCAGTAAAACTCAATTGACATTAATTTTTGTAAACGTAATGTTTATTTCAAGTTTCGTTAATATAAAATGTGTTAGTATAAGAGGAGCGTTACAAGGGCGAAAAATGGCTGTCTCAAAGTGTTCTAGAACTCGTGAAGTAACGGGTTCAGTTCCCACTCTCCATAGATGTTTCATTTATTCTACAGCGCAATAATATCCACTAAATTACAACATTTTACATTTGTCGTGAGAATTTTATGCATAAAACGGTGAAAATTTGCTGTCGCGCAGAAGGCGAATATTTCAATTGTGGAGAAATTAGAAAATTGATCACTTGTATTAAAAATTAAAAACTGTGAATTATGTAGGGTAAAGATAACAATAATATATATTAGTCCTGTACCGCTCGAGCATTTTATAACGATTTCGCTATCGCAGCGGTGAACAAAAAACGCGTTTTGTTACAAATCATTTTCAGTTCGAGCTCGGCTCCCGTCAGGGTAAGACCTCCGCGAGAGTCGCTCCTCACGATAAGCTTTCCACTACTACCAGTGAGATTACTGTGTTATCGACGGGCTGATAGGAATTGTGAAAGTGTATACTAGTAAAACCATTAGTAGGTTTTAGTTATTCCTTCGTTTATTTATTATTTATTTTGTTTAAAGTGTATATAACAAGCCATTAACACTAGGTCAGTGATATGTGTGAAAACGGCTGCCCCCGCACGGGGCAGCATATAAAAATGGCAATGGACGCAACAAACGGTGTAATTTCAACTGTTGGTGAGATCTCCCACACAAGTGCAATGGAAAATAACATATTCGTATTTCAAAATGGTCAAATGTTGCAGCAATGTCAGGCTGGATACATTCCATTCCAGTCACAAATGAGTGTAAACTTACCACCGCAGGGTGTAATGCAAAACATGGTTCAAACTCAACAGCTAAGTTTAACACAACCAGTATCAGTTCAACCGCCGCAATTACATCATGTCGCTGCCGGGGATCTGCCTCCTCCTTAAGATCTGCAAAACCTTGACGAGGAGTCACCAAACGCCAAAAAGAACTTGGAGCAGCGCGGTCAGACCGCAATTCAACGTACTCCCAACACGTCAACCAATAAAGGTAGATATAACTTAAAAGAAAATGTGATTCTAGTGAAGTGTTAAATGATAAAAGACAAAAACGTTCGCAAGCAGAAGTAAATCAAATGATATATAACGTACCTGTAAGAAAAATGATTTGAATAATTAGATAACATATAGGAAAATGATGATAATGTATTTAAAGCAGTAAAAATCCCCACAATTATTATTCAAAATTATAATAAAAGAGAAGATGAACTGCTAAACTATAAACTACTTAAAGAGGGCATTATGAAAAATGAAATTGAAAATTTTGAAGTCAAATACAGTAACAATAAATTTAAAGTGCAATTTAAAGATGGTGTAACATTTTAAATCTATAAGTATTCGTCCTTCGCTTCCCTATGCGGTGGCTAGTGTGGGGAGGCCCGCAAACACGCATAGTAATAAATTGGGATATTATTCAAAACAATTTCCTTCGAATGTCTCCAAAGCTCCTAGTTTATGCTAACACTCACAATCCAAAGATAATTAATACATTACATGCATTAAAGAGTGGCATAAAGACCTGTCGAAAAAATTTTAATTTATTTTAAAAGGCTTGAAGCTTGTCGAGCAAAAGAACGTTCAACCCCTTGGCCATATCTGCTTAATGGCTCCATCCAGGATAGCTGTACGCTCCCAAAGATTCGTCTAAAGCCACCATAAATTGCTAGTATTAGGCTTGTAGAAGAGAGTTTGGGTTGTAATAAAGGTAATAAGTTGTTATTCCACAAGTGTAACCTTTCCTTTTTACTTAAGAGCTATGATGATTGTAGTATTTTGTATAATTGAGTAACTCTTGTTAATTTGTACTATGATGAGTATATTTTGCGTATATTTTTGATTTGCTATGTATATTGGTTTATTAGTTGGTTTGCTAGTATTATTGTTTTTTTATGGAAGCGTAAACAAAACAGTTACTTAATTTGAAAAACTCAAGCGCAAGTAAGTATACTTTGTTGCCCCTGATGTAAATGGTTTGGAGGATTGTAAGTCTGTTGTTAATAGATGTATCAAATTAATACTCCGAAACGCGAAGGGGCGACGGCAAGAAATATAATTAATAATAAAAAAAAAACAAAAGAAAAAACAAATCATTTATAAAACGACGTTGTAATTTGCACGGAGCTTCCTATTGATAAACTAGTAAATAATTTTTCAACATTTGGTGAAGGTGTTTGAAATTAGACCCAGCTCAAATTCGCCGATTCTGGGCCAGATATTTAAGGTAACAAGTTTTGCATTTTATTCCAGTGGCATTGCATTTGATGGCATTCGGGAAATAAACCTCGGGAATTGCCTGCATCGTTCGTAGTTTCGTATAAGTATGTGAAAGGAAACATCTGATTATGTGTTTGCGGCACCCAATACGAGAAGTATATAGATAAATGGTCAAGCAACATGAGATCTGCTTCATTTCTCTAAATACTTTGAGACCTGTAATAATGAAGGCAACTTCTAGTAAAACGACACAGTTAAAAATATAATAATATATAATAATATAATAATAATCTAATTAAGCAAATTCATGTTGAGGAAATTAGAGTAATTAAACTTGGTGAAATATAAGATTGAATGAACAAATGCTATTTTTTTTTTGTACTGCATTGTATAGGCGCGGGTAAAGAGGCCAGAAGCGCGCGGCAGTATTAAGACTGTTTCCTGCAAAGTCGGCTCTGAATGTTGATGAAATCTACACTCATCACACGATTTGAAAAAAAACCTACGTGATCAGTAATATATTGATTCGTAAAATTATACTTGGGCAGCTGTCATGGCTAAACTTCAGTTACCAGGATTTTCAGGCAAAAGTTTTCAGAAGCGATCCCCAAATTACCGCCCGCGTGCGCGAATAGATTAGTTAAATCGTGGGAAGAAAATGGAACTTTAATATATTGGCTACTATTATTTTACTTTACAGAATTGAAATGGTTTTTATCTCGTAGAGTGCCAAATGACCATGAATAATGCCGTGGTAAAATTAAAAAAAATCACCATCCCAGGAAGACAAGAAAAGATAAGCACAGGAAGGCGATCACTGCAATAAGAAAAGAATTTTTCTAGAACTCGAATCATTTTCAATTTGGGTTCCTTAGATAAGTTTCAATTGTTGGGGAAAGTATATCAAAATTTAACATAAACAAACCCTTTTTTGCACGGGGGATTGCCACAAACTAATTATTCTTTTTTATTGTATGCTGTTAAGCGAGTTTTGTGTTTCAACAAGGAGTCATACAACTACAGGTATCCCCATAATTCTAAACGGTACGATATCGAATGTAGGTTTTGGCGTCAAGCCAATGTGAATCATTAGCAAGTAATGTGCCGTAGAATATGTTCAAAATATTGTGTTCCGAGATCTTTAATCATGCTTTCATTTTTAAATGGAGCCGATGTGTTTTTATGTCACTAAAGCAATATGATAGATCATAAATAAGACGAATGCATAGTGTATAGCTATGGTTATAGCTGCTGATAGTAATTTTGGAGAAGAAAATTTTATACTTTCCGCATGAGATTTTTAAATTAAATATATAAATTTTCACTGTAAATATACTCTCCTTCAACTGTCTCCTTTTGGAAAGGTTCTTCGTGGTGTGGGAAGTTTTACGGGAAGGGCGAAGGATCACGTTGCGCTCAAAATGTCAAGTTTGGATACGGGCGTTACAGAGACAGAAAAATTACACGTATGCATTCTTTTTAAGATCATGCTATTGCAGTGAGAAAAATATAATGCGTTCATTTAAATATCAAGATTCTTAAAATTTGTATCCGGAAAACTAAATTATTTCAAACAATATTTTACTGCATATTGTTTGTTCGATATTCCGCAAATGATTGAGCGGAAAATATAAGTCGATATCGGGAACGTTTACCAAGTTTTGAGGTTTCCTATAAGGTGGTGGATCCTGCATGAAAGCAATTATAATGTATTTTCAAGTAATTCGGTGTTTAAAAAGGCCCGTTATGAGACTGCCTACGTATCAATTATTGTAATTATCGAAATATGTTGGAATTTCAACGTCGAAATTTGGCCCAATAATTTTATTGTACTCATAAGTTATAATGTTTTGTTTGGCTAATTGGTAGAATCGTTACTTTCTGCACCTCTATGCAGCAGGAGTGAATCCAGTGCGTGTCCGTTAATTTTTTTGATCTTTTTTTTTTATCCGTGATTTTTGTGTCTAAATGAACTG